TCTTTAGAATAAATTAAAATGTCCTCGGATCAAACATCCTCAGAAAATCAAGGTGAGAACCAAATTAGGTCTTACGAATGCACCTTCTGCAAGAAGGGTTTCTCTAATCCTCAGGCACTTGGTGGGCATATGAACATTCACAGGAAGGTCAAAGCCAAGCTGAAGCAATCTTCAGGAGATCAGAAATCGAAAAAATCCTTGAGCATCCATACTGCTCATCAAGACAGAGTCAATACCTCTGGGTATGTTTGGTATACAGTACTGGATAGTGTACATAGTATAATATTGTTAATTTCTTTTTCTTCTTGAATTCTATCTAGTTCGGTCAGATCCAACATAGCAAACATGCCATCAGTATCCCCATATAGCAAAATGAAAACATCGGCGACATGGCCTTGTATCTCTTCATCGGAGGATAGAAAATCTTCCAGAGGTGAGTCGAAATCCATTGATGCAAAGCCAATTTATAATCAATTTTCCAAAAAACCTCTAGAGGGGTTGCCAACTTGTCAAGAATCCCAGAGTGCAGTATTGGACCTCGAGTTGAGATTAGGCAGTGAGCCAACAAAATCAGGAGCTACTACGAGCACAAAAAATTGTTTTTAAATAGTTTTCACTCCTATTGGTACTTGATATGTTTTTGGTAATGCTTGATCTTTTGAAAGCCCCTTTTTCTTGGAGTCAGCAGCTGCGCTTCCAAGGTCGCTTGACTATGGACTTTTCAAATAGATTTTTAAACCTCCGTCCCAAAAAGAAAAACTTGCATTTATTTTTCGCATGTCTCAAATTATCGGTCACTTTCTTTGTTAAAAGTATAGTTAATTTTTTAGTTTTTTAATGCCCTTGTTGGGCTCCAGTATTTCGAAATTGCATTTTTCTCTCTCTAATTTTTTATCAAACATTCTCCAATAAAATAACATTACATATAAATTCAAAAATTTTCTTATTTTTTAACTATATATTTTCAAAAAATTCACTACTTCAAAATACATTTTCCCAAAATTTGTTTTTAATTGAGCCAAACATGGGCAATAAGCCCTTTTTTAAAGTGTTTTGTTATCAACTAATATGAACTATTCATTTATAAACATTAATTTAGAGGATGTTTGAGAGCCATTTTTATGTAAAAATACATTTTAAAATAGTAAATAGATAGGAAATATGTGGTTGAAAAATAATGAAAAGTTTTTGATTTACGTATAATATTATTTTAATAAAGAATGTGTGGTTGAAAAGAAGAGAGAGAAAAATACATTTTGAAAAAAATGGGTATCAAATGAGTCCTTAATGTAGGAGTATATTAAGGAAAAATATAAGTAAAAGTTTATATTTATAATTATATTAATTATATCTTCTTAATCTGTGTGAAAATAAAAACAAACATATTTTTATGGGATAGAGTGAATATTTGAAAGGTTTTTGTATTCTCTAGTAGGGGTGGGTGCGGTTCGGTTTGGTTCTAAAGAGAACCGAACCAAACCGAACTTTTCGGGTATCTAGTAAATGGAATCGTCGGGTCCAAATATAATTATGGAACCATTCGAGTTCGGTTCCATTTGGTTCGATTCCGTTCCGTTCGGTTCTGTACTATAATTAAATTTTTTAACATTTATAACAACATTATATAAATACAACTAATGATACATTCAATAGTTTTGGAATGTCAGAGACTAGTAAACTACCTTATTCAAATGATCGCTACGATCAAAGTTTCGGTTGGCGAAAGTCACAGTTTCGATCGGAGGTCACAGTGTCGACCGATAATTGTATATGTTTTGGAATATTAGCGAGGCTGCGAGAGTGAGTGCGAGAGTCGAGACAACGTTATGCACTTTGGTGTTGGTGTTTAGAGTTATTTAGTGGATTTGATCTTGCTTGGTTAAGAAATGAAACAATAAAATAGGTAATTGGGCCAAAAATTAAAAAAATTAGAAATGAAACAAATTATTGGGCCAAAATTTTTGATTTAGAAATCGTTAATTTGTTAATTTGTTTAGAAAAAATTAAAATAATTTGATTTACGCAATATAAAAAAAAAATTAGAAAGATTCGGTTCTTATTCGATTTTTCGATTCTAGGTTTAGAACCGAAAATCGAACCGCACCCGTCGGTTCTCAATTCAGATATCCGTTCGGGTATTTAATTTAACAAAAACTATCGGGTTCGGTTCGGTTCGGGAGATTTGCCCATCCTATTCTCTAGGCACTTGTCCGTTCTTCCAAAGTTTTCTCCAAACATGATGTATTGTTTACCTTTTATCTTCGGGAAATTCATTTATTATTTGTTCTTCCTAACATAATAATCTATAGATCTCTTACAAATCTTGAATTTTCAAGTTGCTGAAGCGACGGTAGATTAATGAGGAACTACTCTATTCATGATCTTTAACTAAAATATGTATAAAGTTAACTAATTGACGGACTTTTGGAATGGTTGATAAGTTTTTATGCTAAGCCCTTGTTTGAGCCCCATTTTTGTCAATAAAATGCATTTTTGAATAGTGTAATGATGTGAAATGTGTGGTTAAAAAATAAGGAAAAGTTTGAGATTTTCGTATAATATTATTTTATTGATGAATGTGTGGTTGAAATGATGTCAAAACACTGTTTAAAAATGTATTTTTCCAAAAAAATGGGGCTCAAACAAGGGCTAAAAGTTTGATTAAGAAGAACATAAGAGAAAAGAATAAATTAAAATTTTATCCATTATTTTCCTATACTACTATTTAATATCGTATCGTAAATATAAGTGTTTCTCTAATTTTATGCCCCCAACACTCCCATTCATAGTTTAGATGATGAATAACAAAATAAATCATATTTCATATATTTCCTTATCATAAAATCTACAATTTCATGGTTTACAAAGGGGGAAAAAACAACATCCATCAGAAACCTTTCGCTCAAACTCAACCAACCAAAAGCAGTCAACCCAGTTGTAATTCACTCAAAAAAGTGAATAAGAAGAACATACTGTCATCGGTTGAGATGCATATAATACTGGAAAAAATTAAAGATGAAGAAGAAGATGTTATAAAAAAAAATGCTGCAATGGAGAACAAAAGAAGGAAGAAAAGAATGAATATAAATTTTAAAAAAAAGACTTGAACACGAAGATATATCGTTGTCGTCAAATGATATTTGCCTCGTTCACATTGTTTTTAAGAATTTAATTGACAAATAGTTTGTAGGATTAGACAAGCTTTCAATGAAGAACACTAAAAAACAATGTTTCATTAATAAACCACCAAAAATTTCGAAAAAAATCCAGCTAACAATCACATTTTATAACTATGCGGTCACATAGGGTATAATTATGCGGTCACATAGTTATAGCACCTGCCACACTTGAAATTTTTGAGAATCCATATGCGACTGCAAGCCTAAATGGCTTATGCGGTTGCATAGACAATTTTTAGGACGTGTTCTCCTCTTTCCTTAATTTATCCTTCATCCACTTTTAATTTTGAACAAGATTGCAACAGTCCCCCACTTGTTCAAAATTAACATTAATCACATAATCAAATATCAACACTCATGTATAAGAATTATATATATTTCGATTTGAATCTATTTATAGTGTAAATCTCATAAAACATTATCGAAATTCCAAGTAGCTAGAACACTTTGAACCAATTATTCCTTGAGACAATACCAATGAAATTACACACAATATTAAATTTTCACAAGTTCCTTTAATTCGCTTAGTGCTAATATGGCCTTGCACTTATCATTTTTCTTTGAACTTTTAGGTAAAGTCTTCCAGTATCTTTGTTACTTTTAGAGATACTTGTACCTTATACTGAACTTCATTAAGAGTTTTATTATAACTTATCCCTCCAACAGTAACCACCAACATTATTTATCAAAGATTAATAGTATTGAAATCTATCCATTTATCGAATTACTTGTTATTACCCGTTGAACCTAAATATACTTGTTTAGAATATCTTTGGTAAGGTTGGTATCATTGGTGGATCTATTTAAGGGGTTTCAATTCCATCCTATTTATTGTCAATCTTACTAACTCTCTGGTGAGAGGTTTAGTAAACGGATCAATTAAGTTCTCACTGGATTTAACATGTGTATGAGAAATTATTTCATGCTTGATTAATTTTCTTACATACTCCTGTCTTAGACTCATGTGTTTAGACTTTCCATTATACACTTCGTTATATGCTCGAGCAAGAGTAGCTTGACTATTGCACAAGATAGGTATTGAAGAAATATCATTTCTATCTAAATGAATTTCATATAACGGATCTCTTAGCTACTCAGCTTCTTTTCCAGTTTTAGCCAATGCTACGAACTCCGACTACATTGTTGAATGAGTAATGCATGATTGTTTCTTAAACTTTCAAGAAACTGTACCTCCACTAAGAGTAAATACCCAACCTGAAGTGGACTTATTTTCTCCCGCACTTGATATCCAACTGGAGTCAGTATATCCTTCTAAAATTTTAGAAAACTTTGTATATTGTAGCCCAAGGTTTTTTTTTTGTTTTCTTTAGGTAACCAAGAACCCTAACGATGACCTTTCAATGTTTGGAACTTAGGTTGCTAGTAAACCTACTTAGTTTACTTACAGCAAATGCAACATCTGGTCTTATACATTGTGCCGCATAGATAAGACTTCCAATGACATTTGCTTATTCTATTTGAGCTATTGCTCTTTTATCATTTTTGATCAGTTTGATATTTAGATCCAAAGGGGTAGTAGCCTCATTGACGCTCAAGTATTTGAACATATTTATCACATTTTCAATATAATGTGATTGGTTCCGTGTAAAACCCCCACTATCGTATTTAACTTTGATACCAAGGATAGAATTCACTTGTCCAAGATCTTTCATTTTGAATGTGGAAAACAGAAACTTCTTTGTTTCTTTGATCCCATGTATATTATTACTGATGATCAACATATCATCAACGTATGGACATATTAAAGTAAGTACACTATTATTTACTTTAGTGTGAAATTGTCTACTAAATTATGATTAAAACGATTTTACATTATTTTAGAGTCAAATTTCTTATTCCATTTTTTAGGGACTTGTTTTAATTCATATAAGGATTTGATTAGTTTGCACACTTTATGTTTATTTTCCGATAGAACAAACCCTACTGGTTGTTCCATGTAAACCTCATCTTTAAGATTTCTGTTTAAGAATGCTAGCTTGACATCTATTTGATGAATATGTAAATCATAAATTGATCCTAATGCAAACAAGATCCTTATCAAGGTTATCCTAGCCGCGGGTGCATATGTGTCAAAATAATCTATTTCTTGCTTTTGACAATTGTAACGGCCCAACAATTTTAAAATAAAAATATATTTGGTTTACATGTTTTTTTTTTTTTAAATTTCGAAAATTTGAGGACTAAAATGAAACATGTTTTAAATTCATATTTTATTTGGATTAAATAATTAAATTTTAATAGAGTGAGTACAAATAATTAATATTGGGCTCGTTAGATAGCTCATAACTAATAATACATTTTAGACTCGAGAAAAGGTCAATTCGAATATTTCAGCTCCAAGTTATTTCAATTTGAAAGGTTGTTTAAAACTAACTTTTCATTTCAATTAAAAGTCTTGAAGGAAAA